TTTTGAGAAAGGTACATAGCCGATCCATTTTTGGAAGTCAGCAGCCTCAAAAAAAACCTTTTCCAGCTCTAAACATGTCAATAAATGTGCTATAATATCTCTTCATACACTATTCGGCACGTACCATTGCATTATTTACGACTTCTTTAATAATACTTGAAAGTACCCTTTGCTCAAGTAAAAATATGTAGAATAAGCAATTTAATTGTGAATAAATTGAAAACAAAAAAAAAAACAAAAGGTGATTTTTCATACGTATACTGTTTTGCTACGATATTTGAAGTAACCAAGGTAAGACGGTTTAAAGACCTTCAGCAAGTATAAATTTTGACCAGTTGATGGCTCTGTCCAAATTTTCATTTTCGAGAGAGAAGAGAGAACGCGAAAAAAAATTATTTTTTTAGCAACTTTAAAAAAAAAAATTAATTTTTTTTTTGTTTATTTTTTTTTAAAAAAAAAATAAATAAAGTATTTTTATGACGTAATTTATGAGGTCAGTCAGGTGGTACGAATTACGTCAATAAGTGTCTCACAGTCACGTGCTATTATTAAAGCATTATGTCATTTAAAACCAAAGCATTATATTAATGAAAAAAATTTATATTTAAAAAAATATGTTTCGAATGTAATTTTTTTATTAACTATTTGATTAGACACGCTATGTAACACAAAATCGATAAAATATTATTGGCTGATCAATATGCAGGACATTGCATTTGGCTATTGCTTAAATCCTCCGCTATGTTTAGGACAATAAATCTATAAATTTATTAGATTTCTGCAAAATGATTTCACCCGCTTGTTCTTTTTAATACGTAATCTCACAAACACATTGTATATATTCCTTGCTATCTTGGTTTTCTTACGCAAATTTGCTTTCATGATGAGCCTGATTTTATCAACAAATCAGGATGAAAGTTTTTTTTGGTATAAATATGCTGAAATAGGGTTTTGGATATTAGATCTAAAGCTTCCTCCAACAGCTAGTCGAGCATATCGTGAGGTCGTGCAGCAACCAGGAATCTTTGCGGACTCATCAACATACTCAGCATCATTGACATTTTTCCTTGGTAGATAACTCTTGCAGCAAGCCTGAATATTTCCTGTTCACAATTGTTCCTTTCCTTGAAGAGGTCTTCTTGAAGACTGCCTCGATGAATTTCTTCTCAATTGGGATTTGATCTTTTGCGTATTGATATTATTTTCTATTTGCATTTAGATCCTCCGAGTTATCCTGCGTGTTGGTGGTGTGGTTTTCATCATTAGTATTTGCTTGATTTCTGGGAAGAAATAAATTGAGATATATATGCTATGAATTTCATCATTTACCTATTATCAACAGAATCCGCATTCTCATTCATGTAGCTTGATCATGTGTGGTGATTTGGTCGACTCCCTTGTCCAGCAAGAGAGTCATCTATAAGTCCCGACGAATCTGTGAGTTCCTCCTTGGTCTCATCCTCCACAGTGTCATCGCTTTTCCCAGATTTGTTTTTTCTCTACATAATATTCTTCAGAGGCGAGTGCGAAGTTCTTATTGGGTATGAAGGTCAAGAATATTTCGTTCCTGCTCGTTTAATCTGTTGAATGCCGGAATCAATGGTTAAAATATTTGTAAAGGTGACATGGATTAAGTTGAGAAACATTTTATCACTGAAAATTGTAAAATGTAAATGTTTCGAGTTGGATTCTGTAGTATCTGTTTGAGTTTCTGAAGCGGTTGTTAAAGTTTCGCTAACATGGTTGTTAAATTATAGAGAAAATGGTACATCAATATATTTTTATATATCGAAACTAAAATAAAAAATAATGGTCTGGAATTACATTAATCGTTGAATGAGAAGAATCAAGTAATATTTATCATCATTTTAATCATTTTAATAATACTCATATTTGTAGACGCGGATATTAGGGAAACATGTGATGACGGTCAAGTTGATAATAGGATTAATGATGAATTAAAAAGAAACTACAAAAAGACTAAAAAATGAAAATTAAATTTGAAACATTTACTAGAATTACCCTTCCAAGGCTAAGCCTTTAAAGCTGCTGATGTTTCTAATGAAGATAAGCTTTCCTACTGACATTCTAAAGTTATTTTGATTATTATCTGTTTTAAAATATAATTTAATTTTCATATAATAGAATGACAACTCTAATTTTTTAACCGTCTCGTTCGTATTTTTTTTAAATTTAACATATTAATAATTCTATTCGTTGTTAAAAATTTTTTTTATTTCAATGCTTCATGTAATAAAAAGACAGCATTCCGTTAAAGCTTAATAATTCACTGGAATTTATATATTATAAATTTATTTTCCTTTAATGTTTAAATTTATATGTAATAAATGCAAATTAGATTTATAATATAATAATGATATAGTAATTTTAAGTTTATTTATAAATATACATTATAAATTATTAAAATTATATTCACCACACCATTTTCAATCATAAATCAAATTTTTACAATGAGTTGCCCGAGTTACAACCCATTTTCATCAATTTTAAAGGAACTGGATCGTAAAGACAAATTTGTTTGATAACCAATCAAAAAAATTTTTATCACATGCTCTATTTGTATAAAATTAATTTAACTTAATTTACATAATTGCGGAATCGAACCGAAGAGGAACCGAAATGTAACAGAGACTCAACCCAATTCTTACTTAACAAATCTATAAATTTTTTTTAATAAATGTATACTGTATCTTACAACAAGAACTTTAACTGTTTACATCCAGCCATATATTTTTTTTATCTGATTTAAGGTTGCCAAGCAAAACCCGGAGGTTTCGACAGGCATCGAAATCGAAACCTGTCGAAACCCATCGTAACTGAAAGGGTTCAACATTTTCCAAAATGGGATTAGGGTTTGTCTCGCTGCTTATTATTCATAGTGAAATATGTACTCCGCTAATTCAGTTTTCCTTTATATACGCAAATATGAAAAAAAATAGCTAGTGGAATATCAATATCACCGTCACCAACATTGTCATAATAGCGAAAACATAACAAGATGTCGTCGTTTCTGAAATGATTTGTAATTTTTCCTGACGAAGATATGCCTTTGTAAGCTAATGGTCAGTAAATATTTTTGAAGAAACAAAAATCTGCTGTGGAATTTTTGACAAGGATACAACTACGAAAGAACCTTACCGCCCTTACAAAGTTATAAAAATTTACGAGTAGATTTTGAGCAAGATGCAAATAATGTAATGACTGGATCATTATTTCGAGATAACTGGTGAGAACTTTGTGATGGTCATTTTATAGTGATTTCGGTTAAAAAAGTTGATTATTCAAATCTTCTTAGCTATTCTTGAAATTTTTAGCAACAGAATTTCCAATGTTAAATGCAAATGAGTTTTGTTTGTTAGAGATTTAGGTTTGCATTTTTCTCCTGAGGATAATATTACCAAAGTTTCCAGAATTAACTTTTTTTTTTTTTTAAAAAAAACAAAAAGGTTAAATATCGGTATCATTTCTGACACGATAAAGAATTTGATAATATTTCGAATGAATCCGGATTTTTACTGATGTCAAATTGGTGTGTTTTTTTTAATTTTACGTTACGATCATGACTTTGTTTCATGACTCGATGTCAAAAATCACCCAGGTTTTTATAAATTTTTATCATAAATTTTTATTATAATTGGCGGATATACTGTAAATCATTAAATTCCTTTTAACCATTTAAAAAAGGTTTGAACTTTATAAGCAAAAAACACTAAATGGTTGTAGTGAATAAGAGAAAAATTGTGCATAATTTGCAAAAATAAATTAAAACCAATTTGCGAAATCATACAAAATCAAAATTTTTTAATATTTCAATTTATTTATTAATATCAAATTAGAAACAACGAAAAAATCCATTCCAATAATCTCAAAATCAAAAGAATATAATAAAGGTTTTGAATAGATTAAGTTATAAGACCCTTGTGAAAATAAATTTTACGGCAAACCAGAAATTTGAAACTGCGAACATTACTACAATTTGCGGAAATCAAAAAAAAAAAAATTGCGTTCTGCAAACGAACTTTTTCACTGATTGGTTGTCGTTGAGTTAAAGTTGGTCATTGATTATAAAAGACCGCGTTCTTTGTCTTTAACAGACCATCTGTGTAGTACTATGGTCTTGTATTATGTTAATTCGCTAGAAAATTGCATTTGCGTTCATTTGTAATATGGTAAATATGCCTATTAATATATTCATTCCGGAAATTCTTTTTTTTTTTTTTATAAAAAAAAAATGTTTAATTAAAATATAATTCAAAGACCAATTGAATAGGAAAAAAACACTCGCCGCCCGCAAGAAATTTCCGTTCGTTACCTAATGATCTGAAATTTTTTAAAATATGGTTAATAAACTAGCTCTATCGAAGCAAGCCACAAATCAAAGGAGAAGGAAATTCTCACTGAGCGAGCCACGAAGCGCTTTCAGTTCTCCATTTTACTCTACTAAAAATTAATTGCAAAATAATGCGTGATCAATGTATATATAAAAACAGTAATAATGAATGCAACTTTATTATTGCCTTTGAACGAATTCTATATCGTTTTCTCGATAAAAAAGTCGTTCTTGGTAGTGGCATAGAGAATCTTTCAAAGGAATCGTTTTAATACAAAAAAAGCTCACTCACAGTACTAGTTAATTTTGTTATAATCTTTCCCAAATAATATAATTTTTTCGCGAACTGTCCTAAAAAAATATTTACCCTGAATAATACCTTGGTGATAGAAAATCATTAATTCAAAATAATGAAGATACTTAACTATTATGAACACTTGTATTATCTCAACATTATGATTAATTGAATTTTATCATTTATATAAGTAATTTCATGGGGAGTTAGGAATATCGCAGTTTTTTTCCCGTAGGGAAAAAAACTACGGTATTCCGATCC